GGCGTCATGGCCAGAGAGGACAGCGAGGCGGGTGTGGCAGAAGAAGGAGGGGCAATCTCCTCCCACGCGATTAACTGCCTCTGTAAATCTGCTACAAGGTCAGCCATCAGTCAGTTCTGACTCTAGGGTACACAACAAATACAAGCCTTTGTCACCTAGTCAAAAACATAGGTGACCTTCCAGTGGGTAAGCTTTTTGGCAAGAGCTGCATAGACTGAACTACAGATTTCAAGAAGCTACATTGCTTCCTGTCCGCAGGTCAATTAGACTCATAAGGACCCCGTGAGTGACAGCTCTGAACCCTCCTCTATCCTGAGCCAATCTCATGGTCTCTGACTCACCTACCTCCATCACCCCAGACTCGGAGTTAATCCAACTCACCCAGGGTCTTCCTCTCCAGTGCTGTCCCTCCACACTATCAAGCATAATATCCTTCTTGAAAGACTGGTCCTTCCTGGCTACAAAGGATGTGAGAAGAGCCTCAAAAACCTTGCCTCAAAGCAGCAGTATCGTTTCTTCAACTGCTGCACTGCCCTGTTCTTTTTTTTCAAATTGACTTTTTTTAATAAACTTTAACAAATTTAAAGAAAAATTTACAGAGATTTTGGCTTTCCAAGCCCTGTTCTCTTGCAGGTCTACAGTATGTTCAATACTCTTCTTAAGCACCACAACTCGAAAACTTGCATGATTTCTTTGCCATCATTGGTCACTGTCCAGCTGTCAGATGCATAGCAAGGAAATAAGGAAAGCACTTATTTATACAAGACACTAACCAGTGCACGCAGCGGGACACATGACCCACCCCAGTATTCAACTGTCCTGAGGCCATTGCACAGGGGTCTCCAGGGAGGCCAAAGAGGCAGGTCAAAGTGGAAGTCAGCGGTTCAAGGAAAGACCATGAGTATGGGAGCAGCACACCTGCACTCAGGACACGAGCCTGTGTGTCACCTCCTAGGAGCTCCACTCAAATGAAAAAGCAGAAAGCCATGTTCATGGGATCTGCACCCAGAGGCAGGAGTTGAGGACCACAGAGGGGAGGTCACGAGCCCCACGACATATTGGGAGGATTAGGAGGGTTTTGAAATGAATTCCTCATCCGCTGACACCTTTTCCTCTTGGTTCTCTGAGAACTTTAATACTTTTATTTCATAATAGCTGCACCCCTTGAGGGAGCAGTGCTGGTGATGTGTTCACGACAGCACAGGCTAGCCTCTCAATCAGCAGTGAATAAACGACATCTTTCTGATCCGTCTCCTGAACGGCTGATTTTGTGAATACTGTGGTTTTGGTGCATGGCTGGGACACTTAAGGATGCTGGACACACTGCCCACACCAGGTCTCCTGTAAAACTACAAATGCATAATGCCAAGCCGAACACTCGCACACCCACCATGTATGGAAGAGTAAAACAGTTCACTTTATCTTGGGAGAAAGAAAACCCATTCATGAAAACAAATCCTATTGTACAAATGAGATCTTTATTAAGTCCATGAAAAATATCAGTAACAAAGCAAAAATTTGTAAAATGATATTTTCCCACCTGGATTTTTTGCAGTTTGCTGGGAAAGACAAAAGACGTTATAGCTTTAACAAAGAAAAACGTTACCTTCGGTGGGGGGGGGAACAAAACACCAATGAAAATTGCTTGCAGAAGCCTACAATGCCAGTACAATGATGGAATCGTCACAAGGTGCATAAAACCCCCCCCAGCTTCAACAAACACTGAAGGGCTCCCACATGCATGAAAAAACAGAGTCAAACTTCTGCAAGTATCTCACATTTCAAGATGGAACGTCAGTTCAACACTAAGATATGATTAGGAATACTAATGCCTTCCTAATTTTCTTCTGTCTCGCCAGTCTAAGTTCTCTCTCGTGTGAATTTTTATACAAACTCAAGTGTCCTAATTCTGAAAAAGTTTTCCCAAATTCTTTTATTTTATTTTATTAAATTTTATTAGTTTTAATGAACATTTACAGGGATTTTGGGTTTTCATTCCTTCATTGCCGCACCATTCTCTCTACCCTCCTCCCCAGTTTGTTCTTCTTCCCCGCCATCCGAATGTCTGTTTTAATTGTCCAATTGCCACAGTGCTTGTGAAAGTCAGTTCTGATGAATCCCCTTTGTCAGTGTGTCCCTTGCCACTCCCTATCCCTCCTCCCTGAGAAAGACTTCACCCTGATTCTTAACATCTGTCTGCAATGTGAATTTTTCTATTGTTAATGAGGGGAACTGATTGTCAGCCTCCTTTCCCAAATTCCTTACATTCAGAAGGTCTCTCTCCTGTGTGAATTCTTCTATGTTCAGTGAGGGGACTTGAATGTCAAAATGTTTTCCTACATTCCTAAGGTCCCTCTACCATGTGCACTATTTTATCTATATGTTCAGTGAGGGTACTGGATTTTGACAATGATTTTCCACATTCCTGACATTCCTAAAGTCTCGCTACTGTGTGAATTCTTCTATGTGTAGTGAGGTTACACGACTGAGAAAATGTTTTCCCACATTCCTGACATTCATAAGGTTTCTCTCCTGTGTGAACTCTTCTATGTATGGTGAGCTGACTTGATCGGGGAAAGGTTTTCCCACATTCCTGACATTCATAAGGTCTCTCTCCTGTGTGAATTCTTCTATGTTGAGTGAGGTTACTTGAGAGAGAAAATGTTTTCCCACAGTCCTGACATTCGTAAGGTCTCTCCCTTGTGTGAACTCGTCTATGCACAGTGAGGGGACATGAATGTGAAAAAGTTTTCCCACAGTCCGGACATTCGTAAAGTCTCGCTTCTGTGTGAATTCTTCTGTGTTTCGTGAGGTCACCTGATTTGACAAAGGTTTTCCCACATTCCTGACATCCATAAGGCCTCTCTCCCGTGTGAACTCTTCTATGTATGGTGAGCTGGCTTGATAGTGGAAATGCTTTCCCACAGTCCTGACATTTGTAAGGTCTCTCTCCTGTGTGAGTTCTTCTATGCACAGTGAGGTCACTGGATTGGACAAAGGTTTTCCCACAGTCCTGACATTCATAGGGTCTCTCTCCTGTGTGAACTCGTCTATGCACAGTGAGCTGAGTTGATCGGGGAAAGGTTTTCCCACAGTCCTGACATTCGTAAGGTCTCTCTCCTGTGTGGATTCTCCTATGTGCAGTGAGGTTACCTGAGAGAGCAAAGGCTTTCCCACAGTCCTGACATTCATACGGTCTCTCTCCTGTGTGGACTCTTCCATGTACTGCGAGGGTACGTGAATGTGAAAATGTTTTCCCACATTCCTGACATTCATAAGGTCTCTCTCCTCTGTGAATTCTTTTACGCCTAATGTGGTTACTGGGTTTTAAAAATGCTTTCCCATAGTCCTTACATTCAGAGGGTCTCTCTCCTGTGTGCCGTCGTCTACCTTTAACCAGTTGACGTGATGATGAAAAGGTTTCCCGACATTCCATTAACTGCAAAGGTCTTTCTCTTGAGTGAGTTTTGGCATGGAGAGTTAAAAGAGCAAGGCGATGAAAGGTTTTCCCACACTGGTGACACTCATAAGATTTCTTTTCTGTATGTGTTCTCGCATGTCTCCTTAGGCAGGACAAAGAACGCAAAGATTGTCCACATACCTTACAATTATAAGTCTTTTCTACACTGTTAATTTTTCTCTTTACTGTGATGTCTGATGTACTAGTAAGGGGGGCAAAAGACACAAAGGGTTTTCCATTTTCAGTACATTCATAAAGCTTACTGAAAAAAGTAAATACTTCTTGGAAACCTAAAGGGAAAGGATTCCTATAGGTCTCAGCACATTCTGTAGGTTCATGTTCATCTACCACATGGATCCAAAATGAAGAGAAGGTACAGGAATCTTTGCCACATTTCTTACATTCATGGCCGGTGTCACCAAGGTCAGTCCTCAACAGGTTTATGTCGACACGGTTGCAGGAATAACCTGGAAATCGGATGCATATTTTCCAAGGCGGATCATCTTCAATCTCTTCATGAGGGGCGTCTGCTGTGTGACTTCTGGGAACAATAAACAACACACAGTTGTAACGAAGAGTGTTCCTATTTGCCCACAATAAAACACAATGAAGACGCATGAGTTTAACCTCTCAGAGTCTCCTATGACTTCATTTAGCAATAATATGATTCCTAGAAGTGCATGTATACATCCTTACACTTTCTGATAACTGTTTCCAAAGTTACAAAGCTTTTCATGAGTACTGGCTGTGTTTTGTTTGTTTTCTTCTTTTTAGTGATACTGACCTCCAACAGTTCTCTTTCACTTTACGCAGGTCTTCTTTGCCACACAGTTTTAACATTTTCCCTAATATGGAAGGCCAAGGATGGGTAGTCTTTAAGGATGTCAACTGAGTACATGCAGGGGATAACGCTTCTCCGTTATTCAAGTTTTCAAGGCCTGCTATAGAACAAAAATAATTTTGACAACACATAAAGGAAAGGAAAGAAAGTGGCAGATTTTAGGCTGTTCTCAGTTTCAGCATTTTGACACTGGATAGCAAACTATTCACTAGGAAGCCCTTCTGAGACAAATGAAGGACATGATGATATAAACAAGTTTCCTCTGGGTGGATAATTTACAGACATGACTCACAGAGGACACACAACATCACACAGAACAGTAAACACATGACAATATACAGTACACACAATATCACAGAGAATTCCTACAACAGTACACAGGACACACATCAGAAGAAAAAACAGAAAAATGGCTCTAGGACAGGCCTGCTGATGCAGAAAAGAGTGTCCAGTGATCTGTTAAGCTGTCACATCCAACAAAAAAGACATTTTTTCCCCCTAACAGGTTCATGAAAATGCCTATTTCTCAATTTGCAAAAGATCCATAGCATTTTAACAATTTCACAAAGCTTTTCAACACAGGTGGCCTAGTGGGAAGAAGCTGCGCTGCAAACCCAAAGGCATGTGGTTCGAATCCACCAGATGCTACGCGGGAGAAGGAGGGGCAATCTCCTCCTGTGCCTGTCGGATCTGATTCGACGGTAAACCAAAACAATGAAAAGAACACAGGAGCCCTAAATGAGTGTTAGACCCCACGGCCTTGAATTCTGACCCATAAAGGTCAGGGTGTACACGTAGGGCAGTTACAGATCTAAATACACTGGATCACAGAAGAGAAAAGGGGCTCTCAGACACAGAGGTCTCCATACAGACATTATTTGTGATGTGTGAGCGCTAAAAGCCAGGTGACCAAGCCTGTTTCATTGAACCTTGTATTCCAATCCTTCTATCAAAGTTCAAAAGTAATGGGCATGAATTCATTTTCTTTGCATTGCAAGGATTTGAAAGCAATCTTATGTTTACCTAAGAAGTTCAGGTTTTCCAAGATTTCCACCATCACGTCCCTATAGAGTTTCTTCTGAGCAACACTCAACAACGTCCACTCTTCCTGGGTGAAGAAGATGACCACATCGCCAAGCAGCAATGGTGCCTGAAACACACAGCGTTATCTGGATCGGAGAGGTACCAGGTCTCACAGTGACGCCAAGAACAGAGAAGGAGCCTCACATATGTAGAAAACTATGGAACCGTACAGACATGACACAAGTTCTATTTTCTTCCAGGATCTACTCGGGGCATCAGATTTCAGACTGTTTTGAGGAAATCCTGGCCATTAACTAGTAGTTAATCAGAGATGTACTACATAGTAAATAAACCTGAGGAAAGTTTCACTTTGAATATCTATACACATAACCTGTGTTCTGGAACAAAAAAAAAAAACCAGCTCAAAATAGAGAATTGTTGAATGTGGAAGATAAGTCTGTTGGGTATAGTCAATTTTATCTTCTTTTGAAAAGATCTCCAAGAACAGTGAAGAAAATATAAAGGACAGACTAAAAGCAGGGTGACGTCCTACCCTCATGGAAACACTGCAGAAGGGAAGCATTTTTTATATTTTATTCTTTTTTGTGCATGGACCGTCAAATCAGATCTGACTGATACAGGAGGAAATTGTCCCTTCTTCTCCGGGAGAGCAGCTGGTGCATTTGAACCATGTACCTTCGGGATTGCAGTACAGCTTCTTGCCTGTAGGCCACCAGAGCTCCCCTGGGAAGTACTTTCTTCTGTCTCATTTATGTATGAAGAGTACACAGGGTCCACAAAAGCAGATTGTGGGAAGCCAAAGGTTAAACCAAATGCTTACACAAGAACGGAAGGAGGCACAGATGCAAGCTGGAATTCCTCTCGTGACAGATCACAAAGAATTAGGTGATATTTCTCCTGAGACAGGTCAAAGGAGACAAGCACTTCGGGAAGACCTGCTGGTGCCTCTGCTGCTCTCAGACTGCTTTTGTAAACCCATCATTCCTCAGAAAAGCATAAGGATGTCAGCAGAGAAAAAACACAGCCAATTGGTAAAGAATTTTCTCTGTGAGTTATCGTCTGCCAATTTTCAATAAAGGAAAGAGAGATTCTAAGCCGGGGCTGCAGTATTCCAGCTGTTCGCCCCCTGCCTTCACTCTCTTCTCCCCCTCCTTCTTGGTGCCCTGTCTCTTTATACGTCCTGGTCAACAACAGCTTATGGCAATACAAGTTCATGTTTATTTTTTTTTTTTAGGAAGAACAAAAATCAGTCCTTCCTAGTCAGCTGCTCCTCCAATAAATAAAAAAACAAACAACCGAGCAGGTTATATAAAGATTAAAGATAGGCGTCTCTCCCTCCTTCCCATCAGCCCCTTAAGATCCCTACTCACACTGGATTTTCCTGACACGAATGGAAGTGAACAGCCAGAGGGCTAGCTTTTGAGATGCTTGTGTAACTAACTCCTTATTTTCCTAAGCATCAGAGCTCCAAAACACAGCTTTTGGGTACCAACTGCTAAAAAAGGCTATGAAGCCAATCACCACAGCACCTAACATACCCATCATGATCTGGGTGATAGTGGAAGACCCCTAACTAATAAAGAAATTGGTGCCAAAAGCAGTATCAGGATGAGGCAGAAACGGTGTCTGAGTAACAAGACAGCGAGGGAGTCAGGGAAAATTCCCTCTCAATAGAAATATACTCAATGACCTAGAACGTTAGTCAGAGAACTAGAACTAACCATCAATGTCCACAGTCCAGATATTTAGCTTCTCTGGCAAAAGTGAACTTGACTTTTAGAGCCTAATGCAACAATTCAGTACTCATGTACGAATCAAAGAGGAAACCATCCATGGTGCAGTAGCTCTTTAGAGGCTGAAAAGCCCACTAGCAAAGAATGTCTATCATTCCTGTCCATCAAACAGTCACTGAGCTGTGGAATAACCAGAAAGGTGCCTGCAGCTTAGAGACTATTCCTCCACAGCTCCCACTGAAGAATACAAGTAGACAAAAATTATAAAGATGAAACATTAACTCTAGAACGTGGGTTTGGACAAGACAGGACTCAGATCTGTTGTGCTCCAGGGTCACCCATTTTTAATAATATTACATGAGTTCCTTGTTTTTCAAAGCAGCGTAGTAGTCCATTGTGTGAATACACCACTGCTTCTCTATCCATTTGTTTGTTGATGGGCACTTGGGTTCTTTCCACCTCCTTGCGGTTGTGAACAAAGCTGCGATAAACATGGGTGTGCATACAACTGCTTGGGTGGCCGTTCTGGTATCTGGAAGGGATATTTCCAACACTGGAATTGCTGGATCAATTGTATTTCTATTTCCAACTCTTTGAGAAAACGCCATACTGCCTTCCATAGTGGTTGCACCATCTTACACTCCCATCAACAGTTGAGGAAAGGTTCTATTTTCTCCACAACCTTGCCAGCATTTCTTGCTTGCTGCTGTTAAATTTTGCTACTCTTACTGGTGAGATGATATCTCATAGGTTTTTTCGATATGCACCTTTCTTAGAGCTAAGGATTTTTTGATCATTTCATGAACGACTTGGGAGAAAACACGGTAATATCTTTATTTTTCCAGGAGGTCAAAGTCATCCTACTACTAGGAAGCTTCCACAGGTCACTGGGATGAGACGCCAGGGCTTCCAGGGCCGTGGAGATCCTCCCCAGAGCCAGGTCTGTGATCTTTTCACATCTGGACAGATCAAGGTATTGGAAACACTGGAAACAGCCAAGCCAAGACCAACGGATAAAGGTAAACTACCCAACTGCAAAATAGGCACAGGATATGGAAAGACACTTCACCAAAGAAGACATGCCGATGGCCAACAAACAGAAGAAGAAATAAGAACGGAGGAAAAATACCCGTCACATTATCAAGGCACTTGAAATACGCATCACGGTGTGAGTGATGCTGAAAGAACACTAAGGAAGGTGGTATCAAAATCAGTTCAGGAACAAAGCTGGGAATTACACAGAAAGGAACAAGCTATTGATGGAGCCAGGGGACCAAGAACTCTCCCCAAAAATATACCAAATGATGCAGAAAGAGAACTTAGGTGAACTCTGGACCCCAAGATCTTAAATTTCCATATTTCCTCTTTTTAGCTAGACCAGCAAATGGCAACTTTCATTTTCTATTCTTATGTGAGAGTTATTGCTGTCCAGCAGAAAATGACCAACAGTGCAGTATGTTTTCTGAGGCCGTGAGGCGCACTAGCACAGAATGTCCTTCGTGCTCTCACTGAACACCTGGGGGATGTGAAGGATCAGCAGAGAGCCCGCTGTGGTTGAACCACACCTTCCAAACGAGTCCTACTTCAAATGCAGAGGGCACAGAATGGACAAGAATTATGCAGATGAAACAGCCCCTCGAGGCAGGTGGAGGAAGGAAAGGGTGAGGAACTAGAGTGCCAGGAGATTCTTTGCCCACACCGAAAGGTCTCAAAACAATGTAGAAAGCCTTTCACTGGAGTAAAGGAAAAATGAAAACCCAACAAGGTAGTAAACAGCATGTGAAAATCACAGATACGGTTCTGCTGGACCATCTCTGGATTCTGCAGGAGATTTTGTCAGTGAACCTGGAGAAGCAAGGCCCAGGTTGGAGAGAACACATCCTGAGGCCCGGTCTGT